AGGTGCCAAGGGACCTGAAAGAGAATGTTCCTCTGCTAATGGCTTCTTGTTGTTCTGAGCCACAGGATCAGTAGTTTCTCCAGAGTCAGAGAGTTCAGGGTTCTTCTCTACAAGCTGAAAGTCTTTTGAAAACTTCACTTTGCCAGCATGTTCTCCCAATATTTGATGGGAAGGAGGCACAGGAAGGGACCCCCCTAAGGACTGCAGGGTAGAACTTTTGCTCCCATGTCGAGTCAATGCTGGTTTTTTTGAAGGCTTATCAGCTAATGGTGACAAAGGCAGTTTCTCCAATGATTGAGAACTGCTTGAAGTTACTTCAGTTTGGGACTGAACTGTAGAGAGCTGTGTTTGTCTCCTTGGGTCAGATATTTTTCTGGGAGTTGCCTTGATTGCTAAAGGAGCTTCTACCTGGCATACCTGGACAGGCAGGCTTTGACTTTCACTGACCACATTTTGAAATCCGATACAGGAGGACTCGGGTGTTAAAGCCGTACTTTGCTGACCAGGAAATGCATCAGAAAGAGATGAGACATGTAAAGTGCCAACCTGAGGACTTTGCCTCACACCTCCTTGATCTCCATATGGGACGGGCAACACTGGAGGTGGCACCGATATTCCAGACCAATAAGAAGACTGTGGCAGTGGAGCCCACTCAACAGAGCCATAAGACGGGGCTGGAACAAAAGGTAAAGGAACAGGTAGGGGAGGCGGCCACGTAGGAGGGAGTAAGGGGGGGACTGTATGGAAGATAGGAGAACAAGCTTCAGGAGCAGGTGGTGGTGGTGGTGGCAAGCTTTGGTAATTAGCTGGTAGAAGAGCAAAGTGAGACCATGAAGATCCTGCTGGTTGGGATGAGCCCATATTGTAGTGATTAGGAGGAGCTGGTAGGAAAGACTCTGGTGCTGGTGGCACATGAGGTATGGACAATGTTGGAGGCACTTGTGGCCCAATGTGAGAAAAAGCACATACTTTACTAGCAGGCACTACAGGGACAGGTGAAGATGAAAGAAGTTGCGAAGATGGAGGATCTCTTTGTTTCAGAGTTGTAGAGGAAGAGGGCATGGAAAGGGCCATGGCACTTGCTTTGTCATCAGGGGCAAGAGTAGTGGAGTCAGCAGGCTTTTCAGGCTCCTTCACAAGTTTAGGTGCTGCGGCTTTGGCGGATGGCAGAGGAGCTTTCAGGCAAGGAAGGTCAGCCAACTCTGTAGGGAGCTTGGGAACACTGGGCCACTTGCTGGCACTCCGGTTCTCTCTGGTGTTCTGGATACTGTCATTATTAGACTGGCGCTGGCGCTGGCGCTGCCTGTATTCACTCAAGCTGAGAGGCCGAGGTTTAGCTTCCCTTGGAGGGCAGATGACTTCCTTATTTTCAGAGCAAGATGTATCCTTAGTCAGCTGCTCTGTAAGATCCCCAGTGCAATCAGGGAGCATTTGGGAAGCTTCTGAGCTAGACTTCTCAATCACGGGTAGGGGGAACTGGCTTTTTTCATGGGGTTCTCCTGGGACTATAGGCACAGGGTCTGAATTCCCTAGATTTTGGGTGGGCTCCTCTGCATACGGCAAATCCTTTGCACTTACTAAGCTTGACAGAAGTGGATTTTTGGACCCTTCCTCTCTCACACATGTTGACCATTCTACTTCAGTTTCAAGTGTTTCCTTTGTCTGAGATACTTGATTTAGGAGCAATTCTTTCCCTCCAGTTCTCTCTGGTTCCTTTTTTTGAAAACTAGAATCTGACATAGATTTCCTTGCATCAATCCTGGTCTGCATTGGAGGACAGGCGGACACTTGTTGGCAGTTTATGGTCTTGTGATACTTTGTTTCTGCTCTGGATTTCTTCTTCTTCTTCTTCTTCTTCATATTTGTAGATACCTGACCCTTCTTTGAGGCAAAGAGTTTGGCATTTTTGGGGGCCACCGAGACAGGCTCAGATATATTCTTTTGATTACCTATTGATTTCTGAGTGTCCTCCTCTATCTGTGGATGACTATCTTTTATGTTTGGAAGAGCAGCAGTAACTACCTTCCCATCTTGTTCGTATGAGTCAAGTTCTCGGTCCAGACCCACGTACCTCATCCTGTATTCAGGCAATTCTTTTCCCAGGGCAGGGGACAAAAGTTCTACTTCTATATCCATAAGGCCAGTTATGTCACTGCTATCCACTGTAGGTGAGAGCTTGGTCTCCAGGAGCTCGCCACCATCAGGCATTATTTCTAAGACAAGTGGGCCTGTGAGATTCTTCTCAGCAAGGGACTGATTATCAGAACTCAGGCATACAGTGAGGGTGGGCTGGCAGTAAGAGTGCACTGATCTCACTAGCTCATCAAGAGAAATATTTTCCGCGGCAATGATATAGGGATCATCAAGGTCTCCCTCAGGTTCCATCTCCTTCACAGCTGCTGTAAGACTCTCCCTGCACCCTCGTGCAACCTCTTCTTCCTCTCCATCACTGCTCCATAGAACAGGTGATTCCTGCTCTCTATTCTTGAAGAGCTTCTGTTCCCCCCCTAATGCTTTGTTACTTGCGTTGTTTGAAAAAGCCGAAAGTTTGGCACAACTTGAAGATAATGAGAAGGGAATGCTGTTAGTACTGGCTTCAACCTAGGGAGAGATGAATCAAATCAGAGTTTATGCAACAAAGTAAAAACAACTGAAAATAACCAAAACACTGTTGGGAAGAAGGTATTTCTGACAACCCTGCAATTTTACTAAAAGGTGGTTAAACTATATCTATGAAACATAGCCCACAAAGACTGAAACAGACAATATACCCCCTCCTATCATTCTACTAGTTTGTATGCCAACTAAAACATGGGGATATGTAGCATAAAGATTACACTTGGGCAATCCTTTTCTACTGTACTGGAATTATTAGTGTAGTTTTTAATATAGCAGGACACATGCAAAAGAGAACATACAACAAATCATGATCAGGGTTTTTTTCTGGGCAGAAATTAAAGGTGGCAGAATCAATTAGAGCCACCTATGGCTTAGTTTTTACAAAATATATCACCTTCTTTGACATAATGGTATACAGTCCAGGCTCCTGGAAATCCTCAATATTGTGTAAGCCTTGTCCATCGGGTGTCACAGAAAAACTAAGAAATCTCTGAAACTGATGGGAAAAAAAACAGCTTGGAAATAACACAAATTACTGAGACTAGAAAATACCCAAAATAATAACCCCAAATGCACATTAAACATCTTTCCTTATCTTTAATCATTTGCAATCATTTAACATCTCCTGGGTATCTTGTAAACCAGAGGTTCCCAACTGGGGGTGCTTGCACCTGATGATATTCCATGGAGTGCAAAAACTTGGATTTAGAAGTTTCCAAATTATAGTTTATATGCATAATTATATGCATATAATTATTTATTTTTGTAAGGGGTGCGAGAATATATCAGAAATGTTCTAGGGGTGCGGGGTATAGAAAAGGTTGGGACCCCCTGTTGTAAACGCATAACAATATTAAATAGATACATTTGAGCAATAGAGGGCACTCTTACTCTGCAGTGATCTCAATACAGTATGTTAGATGTGATTAATCTGGATGCCAATTTAAAGAGAAAATTAAACTGCAGGCACCTCTGACAAGTGGAGAAGCCTCTATAATTTTAAATCACGTTGGTAAGTATTACCCTGCAGTTGAGATGTTGCCAAAAGCTGCTGAGAATAGAAAGCAATTCCTCACGGATTACTAACTGGATGAAAGTACCGTGTTAGTAAACCATAAAGTTGAATCCAAACAAAAAAAATGGTGCAGGACAAATTTCAGGCCAAAGAAAGAACATATGAAAATAATTTATATCCCACTCAGGGAAAAAACATGCAAATTAATTCCATATGAATCAGGCATTATCAAATTATCAAATTAATTTGTTTTTCCCATCTCACGGTTCAAGGTGACACTAAGCAGCTTATAGCAAGAGGTGAGTAGAATAGGTAAAGCAATAATTCCAAATATTTACAAGGGCAAAATTAATGCTGTATTAGATCCAACTTGTTTTTGTTTGGTTTTAATTGCTTTGAATTGCTCTTAAATTGAAGAATATAGGACATATTAAAAATAACTATTTTTAATTAACCTTCCAGAGACGAAGTACAATAACTGTTAGGACGACTTAACATTCAATTAAATATCATCATACCGAAGAATTTTCAATCTCTCTGGGTGATGTTAGCAATTCAGATTCAGGAATAGGATCAAAGGGAGACAGAGTCTCATCATCTGTGCTATCAAGAATATCTGTTATTGCGGTCAACAGGGAAAGTTCATTCTCTGCATCCATGTGGCTTTTTACCTGTTATTAAAAGAACAAACCACAGTAGAAATGTTACCATTGTTCAATTCCAATAATACAAGTGCTTCAAATAAATCACCCTGCCCCGGTCTAGTTCGCTTCATATGTGTTGACTGTCATCTGATTGAACCAGGAGGATGGAAGATTACTCATCCTAGCTGTCCATCACATCTGATAGGTAAAGCTGATTTAAATTTACATAAAGAAATCAGATACATGGACTCTGAAGTCAAATTCCAAGACATTTTCACACCAAACAATGACTGGAATGTATAGAGATACAATAAAAGCCTGAAATTTATAGAGATACAAATCTTTAGTACCTACATCTATTCTAATCTGTTCAGCAAATACAGATATTGAAGTATGATATCAAAAACTAAAACTTTTAAAACTATTATTCTGCTTCTCCAGGCCCCCAGTTTTATATTAATAATTTACCAAGAGCAAATTGAGAGCATCAGAAAAATAGCAACTCTGACTTTCATTCCATTCCAGGAAAATGTGAGCTGAATTCTGAGCATTCAGCACTTCAATTTCAGAATTCTGGCCCAAGAAAAGTGTCAAGAGTCCAACTTCTGATCTTTTAAAACCATGTCCTCTCATATTTTGCTGAGAAACTACACAGGTGAATATGAGGAATTCAATATAAAACTATTATCTGTTCAAGATAAAACTACTGATTAGGCTGAAGTAAATCTTCTACTTCATCATGGAACTCCCCCCCCCCACCGCCCTCCACTTATTGTCCACAAAATCATAGAATGTAATGAAAGCAGAGAATTGCAGTTTCATTATATTTAAGGCAAAAGAAAAGCTTCAATGTTTGTTTTCTTCATTTAGGGCTTTACAGTAGTCTACCCTAGTTCATGTTACCAATACATGCTCAAAGCAATGTGGAAGCCAGTCATCTCTAAGGACACATAATATACTGTACCTCAGTCAAACTGCTGAAATCTTCAATGATGGAAATGACAGAAGAATCTAAGTAGTCCTGCATTGTTTCCAGGAATTCCCCAGCTTCAAGGATGGTTTCTGCTTCCAAAGATGCCAAGTGCAAATCCTCTGCCAGTAAACACTGGAGGGAGAAGATACAGGAGAAGGGAAGGTCAGTAAAAATAAATCAGATGAGAAGAATGAAAGTAACTGAATGTAAATTAAGTATTATCTAGGCACAGAATAATTCCCTCTAGTACTCAGGTTCAATGAGGAACTGAATACTAATTATACTTAACAGCAATAGAGAGAGGCAAACAACTTCGCGCAACTGCCAAATATGTTCTTTGTAGTGTGCATGTCTCAGTTTCTAGAATTTGGGAACTTTACAATTTTCACCCATCTTTATTGCCATGTTTTCTTAACTAATGGTTTGATTTTCATTATTACCAAATTACCTGATGTTTTGGAGTATTGTTTTGTTTTCAAGCTGCCCAAAAACTTAAGATTTAGAGGCTGGCCCAGGCTTTGTCGAACGTAATTAAACACAAACTTGTTTCAAAAGCAAAACCTATTTTATTGCAATGCTGGGAATTACTTTCATTCCCAGCCAGAACTAATTCGTAAACAATTCCCCAAAATAAGCACACGCCTTTCAGTGCTGTGGAATGCTGCCAAAAACAGAAGTATCCAAATTAATTATAACAGAAACTAACCAAAGTAAAAAACCAACCAGAGTACACAGAGCTTCAAGGAGGACTCGGAATCCTATTGAACTACGTTGCTTCCTGCAAAGCTTTCATCATTGTGGTCTGACTTTTATCCCTTATGGGAGGGGCATTACCTCCCAGCCTTACTCTCAAGTCTCCCTCTGTTTCAGCTGCTCTCGCCTTCTAGTAGCTCTGTGCACAGGCACACTGGGAACAGGCTCCCCTGGGTCCTCTGCTTCGCTGCTGCCAGGCTCTGAAGGCAGCATCCCAGGTGGTCCTGGCTCCATCCCTGCATCAGATGCAGGACCCTCGTCCAAGTTCTCTCCAGACTCCCTGACTGGTCCCCTTTCTTCCTCACTGTCCAACTCAGCTGCTGTCTGCACCAGCCGCCGGCGAACCACAACAGGGCTTTTAAAATAAAACCTTGTATTTATGAGACCCAAATCTACTATTCTGAAAAAATGGTTTTCTCCTAGTTTATTAGACCCATATGTACAATTACTACAAACCTTTTCAACCAAGACTATCTACAATTCTGCATCTATGTAATCAAGCACAATGCAAAACAAACTACTCCGAGAAGCTCACTGAAGTTTTTTTTATCAGATAAGCAGGATGCTTTAATTGCAGAAAGTTGGGAGGACCAAGACATGATTGCGTCTCTTCCCATACTCTTCTGCTGATTAACCTGTAATAGTCTCTCTCATCTTGCTGCATTCTAGATGCGATAGGACAGCTCCCAGTTATCCCAATTAACATGAATGTTTCCAAACAAGAACCAAGCTTTGAAAAATATACATACAAATGTTTAAACAGCATCAATTTCAATGCAGTTGTCAACATCTACTCCTGTAATTCTGAAGATGGATTTATGGTTATAATACTGGCATGCTGACACTAGGAAGCCAGGTGCAGGAGAAGGCAAATGTAATAATAAATCACTTTTTTTTTACAATAGCTGAGAAAATGTGTTCACGTTGTCACCAGACTTTTTTTTAACCTATGACATATTGAGTTTGACTGGCTTCAGAGGGTAAAATTGTGAGAACATCAAGGTGCTGCACAGATGCAGACTCTGCAAATAGTTTGCCTTATTCAAGGATCAACAGTTACTGGAAATGTTTTATTGCAGTTATTGCTATCTAGGGGGGGCATACCAGTTACTGAAAGCAAAAGTTCACATATTTGCCACAAATACATATGGGACCTTAGATCATTCTTTTCCATAAATGAAGGAATCAACAATGTTTGGGCCATTTGTTTAATTAGGTTCCCTCTATCTAATTTTAGGACTTGTTTTGGATTATGTTTATGCAAAAATATTGAAAATTCAAAGGGATTCACAACCTTTTAAACATCACTATACAGTAGCATCACTAGTTCAGCATTGCTATTACACTGTTACCTAGTTTACAAGAAAACAATCAAGTTCAGAAAGCACCAAGGACCCCTCATTTCAACCCTGAGCTATAAATATTCTCCTTTATTGGGGCTGCATACTGAATATCTATGCTGATAGAACTAAAGTTTCTCACTATTCTGTCATCCCTCAAAGAAAGTAGTCATCTCTAGAATAAGAAATGCATTCTTAAAGAATACTATCTGAACGTTATTATTTTGTTGTGAAGTAAAAAAGTACCGTAGTTACAATTCTGGCATGGAAATAATACAGTGTAGAAAATAGAGAAACTGAAGAAGCCTTGATACTATTTATCAATGAATTTACCTAAAGTTGGAATTAATATGCTCACTACATATCTTTCTCTGAAAATACCTATTAGTACAAAAGTTTAATTCTGACCTTTTAATTCTGTCAATTGAATGTGAAATTACTCAAAAGAATTTTTCAATTCTTACAAGGTGACAGTTCAGATTCTTTGCCACAAACTAATGAGATTAATTAAAGCACTCTTTAATGATGACCAAGGTGAAACTTCAGAAATTATAGATAAAACTACCAGGAGACTCAAGTCCATCATTCAGTTTGCTTTCTGGGCTGGTTACCAAAATAATCTATATAACACAAAAATTAAAGGGTTACCATTTCACATCCTTGGCATCCAGATTTGTGGGTGTACCCAAAGTTTCCAGTTCTCTAACTTCCAAAGCTCACGCTTGATTATTAGTCTGTGACCCAATAAAGGAAGACCAATATCTCTGAAAGGCACCATGCTAGGAGAAGGCTGCCCCAAGCAAACAAATAGAAGCAATACTTGTTTAGTTTTCTAAACTTTGGGGGCACTTCACTATGTTACTCATCATGCCACATTCAACAAGCCCAAAAAAGTCCAAAGGGACAATTTTAAGTTTCAATATAATACTCTCTATATGTTACTAAATGTATTTATTAAACAAATTTATATAGTGATATGGTTTACAATTGCGTTTAGGAAAAGAACTATATTCAAATTGTGTGATGAAGGAAAATACAGTTTTAAACATAAACAAAACTCATGAAATTTTAAAGCTTTAAATCACCCAACTTCATGCTGCATAACACAATATATATACTTTGTTTTAAAGCCCACATTTTTCTGGGTTTCTTTCCCCATTTCCAAGTCTTTTTATTGTAATTAATTCTCCACCCTCCTCTCCACTTTCTCTTGTCTTCTGATTAGACCCTACAGAATTGGGAAGATGTCAGGCAGAAAACAGATGACTCTGTTTAAGTAGAATTTTTTAAAAAGTGTCCTTACCATTGTGCAAAACATATTAAGATTTGCATAGAAAATTTTAATTTCCAAAGATAAAGTCTTGAGCAAAAAAAAGTGAGTTGATTCTAAGCAAAATTAAAATATTGCTCCAATCTTATGAAGAATGTGAATCTTCGGTATTTTGTATAGTAAGGGAATGAGTTACATCTTATTTTAACTACAAAAGACTGGTAACTTAGCATTTAAATTTAACTATTATTTAGCACAGCAACACAATATGTTTCCTTTTTTTATTATGGCTGTGGCACAATCTTCCATCAGTGGAAGATAATGTGTAGCAGGAAAAAGCATGGAAGAGTAGAAGTTTCAGCAGACTTTTCAAGTGAACAGCTCATTATTTCTATTTGTCATTCTAGTACAATGGTATAGTAAATGGCTTCTCTTAAAACTGCTTTCTAAAGTGAAATGATTTGCTGAAAATTACCTTTTAATTTAAAGGGGACAAGGCATTCAGAATTATGCTAAAATCAGACTCAGAGAACAGGAGAAGCAAGAATACTTAAAAGTAGATGCACACAAGATGATTTTTACATACAAGAATTTAAAAAAGAACTGCTGAAAGAGAGCATCATCAAATGGGGCTGAACAGGATCAGCAAGTGTGAGGATATGAACACACCCAGGGACGAAAAGGGGAGAACAGAGCAGAGAAAAGCACTGGAATTCATTTTAACATAAGAGAATACTTTCTAGTTGGTGCTCCTCAGCCTATAAGACATATCCTGGTCTCCCACTTCCTTAAATTCTTTTAAGGTTTCTTTCTTTCTTTCTTTTTGCCGTTGGGGGAAGGGCACAAAACAAACGAAAGTTTCAAAAGTCGATGGAAAAATTAAAGCCACAAACAGTACCATTTTGATAAATAATTCAAAACAATGAGGGAAACCCACAACTCGATTAAGAAGCACTCTAATCTTAGTTTTTCTTTTTGCATATTTTCCCCAAGGACCCCGACCAAGGCCGAAATGCTCCCACAACTCAAATTAAAGTAAGTGTGACTCTACGCCAAAAATTCACGGAGTCAGACGCCTTGCCACACCTAGCGATTCCAGGATTTGCCTTTGCCTTTGCCTTAAAAGCTCTCGACTTTCATTGTTCCTGCATCACGAGGGGGAAGTGGTCTTCAGAAAGTCCCCAAATTCCTGAACCGCGGATCGTTCATCCCGGGCATTTGCTCCACTACGCTAATTTTGCCGCACATCGTCCGCCCATACCAGCCCACCATTACCAACTGTATGGAAGCTCAAGCGAAATGGCCACCAACTAGGATCGTGCAGCCAAAGCATCGCTTTGAGATTCTCACAGCTCCTCTCCCTGAGCAGCTTTTCTACCGCGCATTCTTCCCGGTGCCTCCATTCCAAAGCCCCCACAGCCCGCGTTCCCGCTGCCACCTCCCTATGCCAGACACACCGCTTCCACGTGTCCATCTAGCGTTAAGCCGACGCGGCTAAATGAAACTAAATGAAAATCAAAGCTCAGTTCCGAGGAACCAGACCGGCCGGTACCTGCGTAGAAGAAAAGGTATTGCCCACCAAGGGCTCCGAGGCACCTCGCATGGGGAGGGTTCCCCCAGCCCCAGCATGTCCCGCACCGCCGCCCCACAGGGCCGCCATCTTGGCACCTCCTCACAAATAGCTTCAGAAGCCCGGCCGGCACGGTTAGAACTATATTTCCCAGGAATCAACGCAACTGAAAGCAGAGCGAGCGAGTTTTGTGGAGCAAAGCATGCTGGGAAATGTTCTCCTGAGTGTCGTGGGCACTTTTTTTTGTCCTAGAAATCTAGACTGTAGTAAACGGAAAATTCATTTCAAGTTTACAGTAACAGCCAATACAAAAATAACATTTTTATATTGGTAGAGTTTTGCCTATTTGGTGTAGTGATGCATAAAAAGAAGAAAAAAGCGCTATTTGAAGAGATCTAAATGGTAGCTTACAATTTAGATTTGATATTTAGTATTCCTCTAGTTCGCACACAACTTCTCCGGTAAATAATTGCGGCCCATAGTTTATTAAATATACTCAATTTTCTAAATTAAAATTACCCTTTGATTAGGAGAGATGACGATATTTGAGTGGCAGCATAACGGAAACACATTTTTCTGCAATTTTCTTAACCCAAGTTATCAGTAACGGGTACAAAGAATGAAGGATGCGATGCCTTTGCGGGAATCAGCAGCGATCCTATGAGAGTTCCGAGTAAAGTAAGCGTGCACTGAGTTACGTGCGTAGCATATTACTTAACATTAAATTACCCACTTGTTCATTTAGGTTTGATGGGGCACAGCTGATTGGTTTGTTCCTGATCTTGACACAGATGTAGCTGTTAATAGGTCCCTGGTTACATTCTGTAACTTATCTACTATATTTTAAAATCTTCTCGCCTTTTGCTCAAAACGCTGCAGGCGACCTCTAATAATACGAGGACCGCAGAAAGCCAGTGTGGTTCAGCTCTGCTTAAGACGGGAGCCATTTTACACCGTCTGATGTTTTAGACGTGGACATCCATCCCACCATCCAATTCAAAGAGTAGCTGACAACATCACCATAGCCTGATTTTCCCGCGGTTAGCAGCCGGAAGTTAACACCCTCCCGCTTCGTTTCGCGGGCGCTTGGCTTCCATGAGGGCAGCTTCTGTGCGACGACAGCGTGGTGGTGATTGCAACTTCCTTGTAACTTTGCCAGGAAGGATTGCAGCAGTAGGTCGGCGGAATACCAGACATCAAGGTGCTTTGTTTAGCATTGCGCATTTTGAGTTCACCCTGTCAGCAACCGCTTGCTTGTTTCAATGGCAGGATTACGCCCCGGCAGCAGTTTGTGCTCTTCTGGTTTGTTATGCCTCGGATTTCAAACAGCAACAAGTGTTACAAGAGCCATGCTAAATGAATCATGTTCTGCTTAATCACAGTTTGCTGGCAAAACCACAGTGAACGTCATTTGCACAACATATTAAACCAGCTCACTTCTGATCATGGTAACAAGGAGTACCAATATGCTTTTAAGTTTCTCCACTAGCATGCATCGAGTTCTGTGCCTCTTATATGTTTTTGTTTAATAGCAATAAAAAATAAATATGCTGCAAGACAAAGAGTGCAATTATAAGTGAAGTCTCTTATTTCCAAAAATCCCACACAGATATCAGATACATCTAAACATTAGCAGTGCTGAAAAAATATTGTCTGGAGTCATATCGCAAATACTCTTCTTCCTCACCCAAAGACTACAATAAGCTGACATGGTAGAACTGCAGTGGCCAAAGGGAGGTCTATGGATAAATTCCAAGTTTGCCCTCTGGTAATGAAGCTTATATAACAGCCTTATGGTGTTTTTTTTGGTGTTTTTTTTTGTGATAAGAGAGCCAGTTCAGTGTAGCGGTTTACTGCATCAGGCTACAAACTGGGAACTGAGAATTCTAATCCTGCTTTAGGCACAAAGCCAGCTGGGTGGCCTTGAGCCATTCACTCTCTCTCAGGCCTAGAAAGGAGACAATGTCAAGCCATTTCTGAAATCTTGCCAAGAAAGGTGCAGAAACTTGTCCAGGCAGTCTCCAAGAATGAGACACTTAGAATTAAGCAGATTGAACAAGAACAACAAAAAACTCTTTGCAGCAACCATGAATAAGTAAGGAGTGTTCTCAAAATTCCACTTTTGCCCCAGTAATTCAGAAGTATTGGGGATCCCTGTGCAGACAAACTATAGTTTGCTTTACCATGTTGTGTGAATGCGAATTCTCTGAAGTTTTTGTAGCAAAAGATTAGCAGTACTTCCCAGGATGAGCACAGGGGCAACCTGCATTCTGCCTGAGCAAGAAGCCTTCAGAGCTTATTTCCACAGTTTCTAATTTCTTATGTCCTAGACCTAGAAAATATTAGAAGTGGGTAAACCAAGAGGGACTTGGTAACTGGGAATGTTGCCAGAGTGAGTTGTGATAGGAGGAGGGTAAGAGGAGACGGGGGAGTGGGGCAAAGACAGTCAAGGCTCTGGACAAGGTCATTTTCAAGTTATTAACAGTAGAAAGATCTTGCAAATGTCCTTGAAAAATAAGCCGCTTCTTGAAAAGCATATGCAATCAGAAAAGGAGAAGGAGAAATGGTGTAAAATGTTACAGGGCTTTGCTTTTGTCAGACACAACAAAGTTTGGCTTTCTAGGAATCACCTTCCAAGGACGAAACTAGAAAAACAGCATGATGATTATGGGCTCTTCATTTCCATCATAAAATTGATTGGTAAAGGCATCAAAGTCTGAAGTTTTAACATGAATCTGTTATGAAGTTTCAAATTTAAAAATTTGAAGAGACAGTGAATGGAAAGCATATTTCAGGTAGTATTTGACTTACAGCTATTTATTTTGTGTCCATTCTAAGTTACAATGGCACTGGAAAATGTCAGTTATGACCACTTTTCATTTTTCACAGTCATTCACATAACCTTTTATAGGTTGGACTGTTTTTTCCTTTTGCATAAAGACAGGTGCAAAGAATGAATTAAGCAGATCCATGCTACCTGTCACGTCCTTGCCATCTTTTCCTATTAGTGAACCAATAGTTTTCTTTCACATGTTGAAAGAATTTAAAAAAATATATTTTGGGCATTTATTGCAAGTTTTTCACTTGCAACCATTCTGAGCCTTTCTCTTTCTTTTTCTTTCTTTCTCCCACCCTCTCCCTCTCCCCCTCCCTCCCTCCCTTATTTCTGAACTATCCATTCCCCTCAGAAAGATGCCTTTCATGTAGGTACCATAGACTGTGGTCTAGGAATCCAAAGTTCTCTTGATAGCACCATAGCACCACTAAGCCTGTAGTTTACTTCTAAAATCTGTTCCCTCATTGGATATTAACCCTTTGTTGAAAACACCAAATGAAAACATCACTTATATTCCCAACACTTTGAGCTTTCATGCCTAGCTGTTTATAGGTTTTTTGATATTGTTTTCAGGCCCTTTGTTTATCATTCATCCACAAAAAAGAGGAGAAAGGGATGATCATTTGTGGGCTTCTTTATTTTAGTAAGCCTCTCGTTCACAAACATACACTTTTTTCTCCCTTGGGAAAGTCTGGTCTACTTTCTGTTTTAATTCTGTTATTTTTATTATGACATTCTAAATAGCAAAAATTGTGGCAGGGTAAAAAATAAGCAAACAAATAAAACATGGTTGTATATGTATCTCATGAGAATTTTTCTAAGATATATGTAGATAAATATTTTTCTAAAGATTGTTTTTTGTAGTTCAGCAGATTTATGATTAGTATTTTTTATTTTATTCCTTTAATTTTTTGTATCTTTTATTATTTTATATACCAATATTTTTATGTGCCTAATAAGACATATCTGACTCTTATGAAATCTTTATATTCTATGACCCACTTGAGTGAAATAAAGTTATAGTAAGAATAATGTCCTTTCTGATGACAGAAATGGGTGTAGCTTTTTGCAGATTCTGTCTTTTCCTGCTTTTGTCTGTTTGTTTGTTTTTTGGGTTTTTTAAAAGCATGTGGCACATGTTAGCCAGGGATCACCCAGAGGCTGGCTGCCTCTGTGAAAGGAATTGCGGGGGGGCGGTGTTATCTTTACCTGCGGGACGCCTGAATGCAGGTAGGCAATTGGGGGAGGCTCCTTTCTTGTCCCTACATGGTTTATTTGCTCACGGGAATCGAGCCGCCGGCCCGTTGACCTCAGTGGTGCTCAGACCCAACATATTACCACGTCTATGTGTAGAGTATAGTTTGTCACCTACTTTTGCCACGTTCCAACAAAAGTACACGCTGGATCAATTTGAAGACCTGTTTAATCCAATATTCTATTTCCACAACAGCTAGTCAGATACCAATGGAAAATGTATTAAGACGACATAATATTATAACATCTTCCTACACAAATTTCCTAGCAATAGACACTAATATACATTGCTTATGAAAGCGGAGATAATACCTTTATCATCCATAAATTTGTTTACTCTCCTTTTCAGTTTGTCACATTTCTAATAAATATATTGCCAATGTATGATACGCTAACACCGATCGAAACAATCGTAAATTATATATGGTATACACGTTTGATGTACTCATAGCCATTTGCCATTGTTAGGCTAAGAAAAATGGGGACTTCCAGAAAGAAGTGCAGGTCCAACAGAGAGCCAGTTTGGTGTAGTGGTTAAGGCACCACACTAGAAGCCAGAAGACTGAGTTTTAGTCCCACCTTAAGCCTGAAAGCCAGCTGTGTGATTTTGGGCCAGTTACATTTTCTCAGCCCAACAGCAACAGAGCTGCTGTTATGGGGAAAATAGGAGGAGAAAGAAGCATTAGGTATGTTAGCTACCTTGAGTTATTAACTACAAAATAATAAAGGTGAGGAATAAATAAAACAAATAAATTATGATCTTTCATTAGATCACATCATGCTTATAACAGGAGACTTAAGAAAGTGAGAAACTGATTCTGTGTTACCATCAACATTTCTTGCACTTGAAGGGGGCAGCCTGTTTTCTCATTGAGGGAAGAGTTACACCATAGCTTACTTGCCTTCCAGTTCCTGCTTTTGTTTCAAAGGTTTTGGCTGGATTGGGCAAAAGATTTCAGTTGTCATAATCCTTTTGTGATAACATGAGTAGTTTTGCAGGGGAGAAAGATATGAAACCCTGGCAAACAGCAC